GGTTTTGATTTGCATTTCTCTAATTACTAGTGATGAACATTTTTTCATGTGTTTGTTGATTGATTGTACATCATCTTCTGAGAAGTGTCTCTTCAGGTCCTTGGCCCATTTATTGATTGGGTTATTTGTCTTTTTGGTGGTCAGATTTTTGAGTTATTTATATACCCTAGAGATTAGTGTTCTATCTGATGTGTGGGGAGTAAAGATTTGCTCCCAAAATGTAGGCTCTCTAATCACCTCACAGATTATTGCTTTTTCTGAGAAGAAACTTTTTAGTTTGAGTCCATCCCATTTATCGATTCTTGGTTTTAATTCTTGCACTATAGGAGTCTTATTAAGGAAGTTGGGGCCTAATCCTACATTGAATTTAGGGCTCACTTTTTCTTCTATTAGATGCAGGGTCTCTGATTTTATTCCTAAGTCCTTGATCCATTTTGAGTTGAGTTTTGTGTATGCTGAGAGATAGGGGTTTAATTTCATTTTGTTGCGTATGGATCTCCAGTTTTCCCAGCACCATTTGTTGAAGAGGCTGTCTTTCTTCCAATGCATGTTTTTGGAGCCTTTGTCTGATATAAGATAATTGTAATTTTATGGTTTAGTCTCTGTGACCTCTATTCTCTACTGTTGGTCTACCAGTCTGTTTTGGTGCCAGTACCATGCTGCTTATGTTAATATTGTCTGTAGTATAGTTTAAGGTCTGATATAGTGATGCCACCTGTTTCACTCTTCCTGTTAAGAATTGCTTTAGTTATTCTGGGTCTCTCATTTTTCCAGATAAACTTCATGACAGCTTTTTCTCTTTCTATGAAGTATGCCATTTGGGATTTTGATAAGTTTGCATTAAATCTGTGTAGTGCTTGTTTTAGTATGGTCATTTTAATATTAATTCTGCCTATCCAAGAGCAAGGTATATCTTTACATCTTCTAAGGTCTTCTTTGACTTCTTTCTTTAGGATTCTGTAATTTTCATTATTTAGACCTTTTACCTCTTTTGTTAAGTTGATTTCCAATTATTTTATTTCTTTTTGAGGCTATTGTAAATGGGGTAGTTTTCCTCATTTCCCTTTCAGAAGATTTGTCACTAATATACAAAAATGCCTTTGATTTATGTTGTTGACCTATATCCTGTTACTTTGCTGAATTTATTTACTAGTTCTAGAAGTTTTCTGGTGGAAATTTTAGGGTCTTCTAGGTATGGAATTATGTCATCAGCATACAGTCCCAATTTGAGTTCTTCTTTTCCTATGTATATCCTTTTAATAAACCAAATTAAAAACTCAAATGAGAAAACAGCACACATAAGGGAATCCCCATTAGACTAGCAGATTTCTTGGAAAAGACCTTACATATCAGAAAAGAATGTCATGATATATTGAAAATCCTCAAAAAAAAAACACTTCTTAACAGAAAACTATACACAGCAAAGCTGGCTTCTAGAATGAAGGACATATAAGGACTTTACAGCACAAGCAAAAGCTGAGGGATCTACTCACCACCATACTGGCCTTAGAAGAAATGCTTCAAAAAATCCAACATCAAGAGACAAAGGATAATAACCAACACCATGAACATGCAAAAGTATAATTCAGAAAAGCATAAACTCAAAAGAGAAACAGAAAAAATCAGGTAATATCAATACAAAAACCTACCAAATCACAAAATTGAACAATAAGAGAGGAAGACAGAACAAAGAATTAAAAATAATAATAATAAAACAACCACCACAACAACCAGAAAAGAAAAATCACCAAAATCACAAAGTCCTTTCTTGTCAGTAATAATCTTGAAAATAAATAGATTAATATCCCCAATTAAAATATTTAAACTAGCTGTATTAAATGTGAATTAATAAAAACATGACCTAATTATTCACTACCTACAATTAACTAACCTCACTGGTAAAGACACATAGAGGCTAATACAAACCAACAGTGAGCTTACATGTATCAGATAAAGTAGACCTTAAGTCAAAAATTGTAAAAAGAGACAAAGGACAAGTGACTATATAGTGGTCAATTCCATAAGCAAAAATAACAATTGTAAATATATAT